GGTAGGTAAGAGCCATATAAATTTTATTCTTTTTTTATTCTTTTTTTTTTTGGGTTCAACAATAATAATCTTGTAGATGAACAATAATAATCTTCAACCAACCAATAAATCTTGATGCGAACATAAAAAAAACATCTTGACCGGAAATTAGGGCGAAATTTACTAAACTTTTTTGTTTTTTTTTTTTTCTCTCCCAACTAAAATTCATTTATGTTTGGAAGAAGACATGGGACAACTAACGTCAACTTGAACAAACAACAACCAAATGGAGGTCTGGATCTTGTGTTGGGCGTCACATCATTTGCCTAAAGTGATATGGTTTATGCTAAATTATTGAGGTCTAGCTATAAAGCAGCTTTAAAAGCAGCTTGTTTATAATGTAAACTTAATCCGGATTTTTACTAATTTGCTCTAAACACGCAAATTGTTAGTCAAGTCTCTCTTCCAAAAGCCAGCCTTGTAGCCTTCACAAAAGAATCTCTCCTCTTTTATTTCATATTCAATTTTAATTTTAAAAAAATATTTCATAAGTCGACATACGGATGCTAATTCGGCAACAATGACTTTTTACTAGAACTTTGTTTGGAAATGCTAGCAATCTTCTCTTTTGCACTTTCTTTCTTTTCAACATAACATGTGTCATTTTCTTTCCCTTAAAATAATATAATTTAATGCACATGACAATCTAGCTTTTATTTTTCAAATTTACCCTTATTAAATATATTAATTAATTAATTAATTACACATTATAAATTCAGTCTCTCTCTATATTCCCCCTTCCCTGTCAAGTCCCTCCCACTTTAATCATGAACCGCCCTCTTCCTACCCCAAACCATGTCCACCACACATCCACCAAATCACTCCACTTGACCACCCTAGCCACACACCCACCGCACCACACACCCCACACCCCACACCCCACACCCAACTAACCCCACCAACAAACTCATGCCTTATTCTCTCCAACTTGTCTCAGCCCTCTTCCCTTCTCCAACACCGACGCGGTTGAGGCACGGCCCCATTTTGATTATCTTTTAATACTGAAATCAATTATGTATCAATAAATATTTTTACAATTGAAACCCAATTTTGCTCTTCCAAATAATCTTTGGATGAAAAAAAAAATAGTCCTTCTGCCACGCCGCATTCACCCAGTAGCAGTTGATTTAGTATTTGGGTTTGTTATTTTCTTCATTAGGTCATCTCCAGTCATATGGCTAAATGTAGTCAAAGGATAAATATTTAGCCCTCTAAAATATTAATTTTTTAAAGAATAGTGCATGACTAAATTTTTCCATCTCCAGCCATGCATGACTATATTTTAGGACCCTTCATATTTTATTATTTTGAGAAAAATGGTACATCACTCATATATTTCACAACTATGTATTGTTTAGTTTAATTAAACTACAATTTCGAGATAGTATTTTTTTAATTTATATATATTTTTTAAAACAAAATGAATTTAAAATATTTAAAAATATTTTAAATAAATAATAACTTTTCAATCAATGGTTCTGACCTCCAATGAATTTTAAAATATTTTAAAAGGTTATTAAAAATAAAATTAAAAACCTAACGGCTAGCTACGTCATCGATGATGTCAATACGCCTTTAATATTGGCTGTTGGATTTGCAGTTGCTTGAACTAACAGCTAGCTAAACACTAAACCCTAAAGATTTTTTGAATTTTGAAACAGCCAATGTTAACGGAGGTGTAGAGTTTTGGTAAATAGAGATGTTGTGGTGGTGGTTCTTGTGAAAAGGCGCAAAATCGTGGTTGTATGATTTTGCTACATCCGAGGCATGGTTATGTATCGTTTGGGGTTGGGGCAGGCTTGGGTGGCTGGGTTGGTGGTTGGTCGCAGGGAGGTGGTGTCTAGTTGGGGTTGGGGTTGGGTGGGGTGCGGACTGTTGGTAGGCATCGGGGTTGGGAGGAGGAATGGAGAAAGATGTTTTATTTTTATTTTAAAATTATTTTTCTTAATTTAATAATTTGTGGACCGAATTGCCCTTTTACAATTAACGGAAGTTAAAAAAGTTTGACAGAAAATAATATTTGTCTTTGAATTGCTTCAAATTGAAACTATATGTACTAGATTAACTAAATTGAAACGACAAAGACCATAAAATCTCTCTCCCTCACTCAATTCCTTGTATTGTGGAAGACGAGGGAATTTGTTTTACAGCTATACTTGTAAGAAATCTATGTGTGTGTGTGTATATATATATATATATATATAGCTTGAAAGGGAAGCAGAATCTAATCAGTTTCTGCCTAAAGGCTAAAAGCTCAAAAGTGGGCTAATCTCACACGAAAGAAACGAATATTTTGTAAAATGAAATGTATTCGCACATCCAAGAAATGGAATATATTGACTCATGCAGCGTTGCTTGCCTTTGTTTTAACTTAGGATATGTGCCAAGGCAGTTTTTCTAAGTACCTGCTCCATATGCTTCAAGTCTTTTCATGTATTTGTCTTAGAACAAACACTTGATTGGCATCTTCTGACGTTTGATTCTTACGCCCAAATAAACCTTAAAAAAAAACATGCCATCTTTTGTTGAAGAATATAAGTCATTATATATTTGACTAAATAAAATATAACTTCATTCAAAAAATAAAATATAACTTATAATGAATGGTTCTACGGTCAATATCATCAAGACATTTTGTGATAAAACCTCACACTTATTGAACTTTGTAGATTGTTAAGTTGGAGAGAATATCAGTATTGCTAATAATGAGTTGGAGAGAATATCGACCTCTTATGAAACTTATGGTGTATTTACTAATTAGGAATTGAAATTCTCATCGGGAATTGAATTCTACATACGGAGGATTCTCTCATTTATTTGACATCAAAGAATTGAAAAGTAAGTGAGGCCCACACAAAATTAGGAATTCAATTCCTAATTTTGGAGGAATTCAATTTTTGGGTGGGAGGCGGTATTCTAATTCCGGGAGAGCTAACCCATTAGAAATTCATATTTTTTTACCCATTATATCCTCACACAATTTTCAAATTTGTCATCTACTTTAACCCAACAACGAGGACATTTTAGTAATTAGTACCACTCATACCCCAATTCCATATTATTTAGTAAACAACTTCAATAGAAATCTGGAATCTAAGGGCCCGTCTGGTAACGTTTTTGGAGAATGTTTTCTTAGAATATTTTCAGAGAATGAAAACAAGAAAACGAATTTGCATTATCATGAAATGAAAATGCGTCTGGTAGATTAATTAGAAAACAAAAATAATGAAAACTTGTCTGGTAGTACAATTTGAAATAATAATATGTGAGTTATTTTTATGAAAACGTTTCCTATGAGAATGAAAACAACTTTTTTCTGTTTTATACAAGTACACATGAACTTGTTTTCATTTTATGAAAACATTCCCAGTATTTTCTATTTTTGGGCCACCGAACGTATTTTTGCCTCATGTATGTTCTCTGAAAATGAAAACAACCCCTTAAAACGTTACCGAACAGGACCTAATTCTCTTGAATCCAACTCCCCCTCAATTCAATTCCTCAAAATTCAATTACGAATTAGTAAACATGCCATTATTGTTTTGATAACTTCAATTACAACTTGAATCCTCTCGTTTATTAGGCTATCGAATACTCAAGTTAATATCCAAGACTTGCATTATCTAGTGCAAATGCTTGCTTTCACTTTATCAAAAGTTGGTATAAAATGGAGACTAATTTAATCAATGGTCACCATTTACTTTAAGAAATATTTAGTCATATATTTATTTTTAGCACTAAAACTATAAATAAACTATACACAATTTAATTTCTATAAACAAACCAAAAATAAAAAATAAAAAAAATCCAAAAAATGATAGCTGACCCTATTGAATTTAATTTTGATTATTAAATTATTTTGATTATTAAATTACTTTGATGCCCTATTGAGTGTTTTGGGCTTTTTTATGAGGTTTTGGGGTTGAGTTTGTTTTAAGAAATTAATGACAGTTTTGTAATTTAAAAGAAGTTAAAAGCTTTTTGTTATGTTGTAAATGGGTTTTTGGTGTATTTTCAAAGTCCATTTCATATATAAGATATTTTTATAATTTGAACTCTTATATTTGGTATAATAGTAAATCTTCCTTATTTTAATTATTAAAAGGGAGTTTCACTAAAACACCCAAAATGGGGGTTGAAATTATAAAAAAACCCAAACACTATTTAAACATATAAACACATCCAAAACCCATCATTACACACACTCAAAACTCATTTATAAACACACAAAAAAAGTTGACTTTTAGGTTGATTTTGGGTGTGTTTATATGTTTAAATAGTGCTTGAGTTTTTTTTTATAAATACATATCTAAAATTAGATTTATTTATAAATTTGTATTATTAAAACTGGTCTCGTGAGCGAAGTAGCTTACGTAAACACCTCTCTCATCTTCTTAACGTGAGAGACATAAAGAAATAAAAAAGGATATACACCCAGTTGTACTTACAGGTGAGTTTCTCTCCTATGCAAGATGGACGCATTCCACATCGCATCATGCCCCGCAACTAAATTAATCAGCCATGACATCTAAGATGTCTTGCGATTCATCATGGCAGATTATTTATTTTTCATGTGTCTGTTTCCTATGATTCTGGTTCCTTGCTCCCTCATAATCGGAGAAGATTTAATTACGAACTGTCTAATAAGAAAACATGCCCTGCTAAGTATATGATTTATTTATTTATTTATTTATATATTTCTTATGATTCTATTTAAGCCCAAATAAGATTTGAAAAGCCGGGCTTAATTTGGTTGAGGAATGGCTCTTGGCATTTTCAAAGTGGTTTTGGAGAAACAAGACAGGCTCTGGGTCTAGTTCCTCCTCACCCACATTCATTCCCTTCCCTGCTGACTAATTAATAATTAATAATTATCATTATCAAAATATTAAGATAATAATTCCATAATTGCTAAATAAAACCAGCAACACACAACACAAAGACACGAAGAAAAAAAAAAAAAAAAAAAAAGACATGAAGAACAAATTACTTAATTGATTAACTGTACCAACCAACCAGCAAACAAAACAAAAGGCTGAAATTAGAAAAAAGTAATTAAAAGGACAACAAAATTAAGGATACTTGACGAACAAAGGACAACCGTTGCTCCGTCATTAATCCCCAACAAAAATTAATTTTATAAAAAAAATATATATATAAAAAAACCTTTAGCAGCTTCAATTCGGTTCAGCCGGCCGGAGTTCCCCATGTCCGGGCCAGGCATGCCCTGATGATCGCAAGTCAGAAGAGAGCCAGCCATCTCCAGATATATTATATATATATATATATTATCATTCAAGTCTCCTCCGTGATGTCGTCTGGTGCCTCATTCAAGTCTAGAACTCCATTCTCGTCATCTCCTTCGTCCTTATTATCATCTGGTGCCACCACTGCTTCTGCCTCTGCTGCCTCTTGATCATCATGAGCATCATGATCTGCGGCGTCGTCAACCTCCACAGCCAGCAGCGGCTCCGTAGACTCCAAGGCAGCTCTCCAGCCGCTCTGAATCGGATGATCTCCTCCTCCTCCTTCGGTAGTATTCGCAGCAGCTTTCTCAAAATACTTGACAGCCGCCTGCATCCTCCTCACTATAGCAAAAAACTCCTCCACCTCCTCCTCCGTCGCCACGTCAGCAGCACCCTCCTTCTCCTCCTCCTCCTTCTTCTTCTTATTATTATTATTATTATTATTATTATTCACATGACGCTGCGGGTGGTGCTGCTGCAGCTTCTTAGGCCTCCTCCCTCCGCCTTCATCATCTTTCTCGGTGACCCTTTTTCTTCTCTCCATTAATTACTACCGTACCCACCTAATATTCTATCTTTAAGCCTCAAACCATTGTATATTTTCTATCTTTCCTGAAGGCGGTTAAACAAAAAGAAAAGATGATTTGCGAGTTTTGGGCTGCTTTCGTTGCCGCAATTTAAAAGAAAGAGCGAAGCAACAGCCTCTCAGTGCGTGTCTCAATATTCTCTCCTTGGTGGTTGTGGTGCTTCTGCCGATCATGATGGCGACTTCTTTATTTCTTGCAGTCCATCCCTTTTTTCAGCCGTTGGATGAGATCCACCCAATGACGTCACTCCACTACGTATGACTGACAACGCCACACATACCATCCCACCCGCGCGTCGGAAACTCTTTCTTTTGCTGTGCTGTATTTTGTGTGGTGGGGTAGTGGGACATCAGGCGCGTGGGGTTTGGGTATGGGTGGGTGGACGGACAACGCAAGCAACTTTGGTCCCTTCCGCGATGATTCGAGTGGACCGAAAAAGGACGACTCACTCACTGCGCTTGAGGTCAACATTTTTTAATCCTTTTGAAAATCAAATCAAACCAAAGGTGTGGCTTTCGATTCGACCAAAAAAAAATAATACGGTGTGGCTTTGGAGTATAATAATAGGGTGTACCTCAGTACGTACCACGTGATTGCTTGATGTAACCCACCCAACCACTGTATTACTTTAGATTGATGCATGTGACCTTTACCCTCGTGTGGGCCCATTTAATCTGATTATTGTGGGGGGTGGGGTAGCCAAGCTAACTTAAGTGTGATTTGTTCGTCTAACCAGACCATTCACATCACAATTCAGTGGATAAATGAAAACTAATCACAATTAGCAGTTTATATTATACAAATTTATAAATAAACCCAATCCTAGACATGTATTTATAAAAAAACCCAAGCACTATTTAAACATAGAAACACACCCAAAATCAACCCCAAAGTCAACTTTTTGGGTGTGTTTATAAATGAGTTTTGAGTGTGTATAATGATGAGTTTTGGGTGTGTTTATAAAGTGTTTTGGGTGTTGGGTTTTTTTATAATTTCAACCTCCATTTTGGGTGTTTTAGTGAAACTCCCTTTATATTATCACTAACATTCTCAACACTTAGACACGTATTCTATAAGTATAACCATAGTTTTACAAATACAAAGCAAAACGTTAACTATGATTATGCTTACGGACACGTGTCAAGTATGGAGAATGGTGATAAGGGTAAAGACTTTTATGCAAACAGAAATAACACTTTTTGTTATGGCCCTAGCGAATAGCGCAATGACACAAGTAAAAGTTTTTCATGTGTCATTGTATTATTGGTTAGGAACATTTGGTGGACTCAGAAATTTTTCAACAAAGGTGCAATTTTGAGAGGTTAAAAGCTTTTATAAAAATTGACAACCAAATATCCTTATAATTTAAACAATGCCAATTTCATTTATTTGCCGAAAACGAAACTGGTGCGACAATTGATGAAGAAGAAAAAAAAAACGCAGCGTGTTTCATCTTTTTTGTTTTCTAGATTAACTATGAATTACATTCGAATGTACCTTGGAAGCTTGATCGATACAATATTTTCTTCCTTGACACAAGACTTGATCTATGAATCAATTTTTATAAAAGACTTGGAGTTCTCTGCAAAAAGAAAACAACAATAATTGTTTTGATATTGGCCAAGGACTGAATCAAAAAAAAAAAAAAAAAAAACTTATCATTAAAAAGAAAAAAAGGGAAGGAACCAGACCTAAAATTGCTGAAATTCAAATTTTAAAGTGAAAGCAAGGACTCCATCTCCATTGAAATTCATATTAGGATTTGGGATGGGGCATCTTGCATGATTAAAAGTAAATTGAGATGTGCTGCATATTAGTGATATCACCTTGCACGGCTTCTTCAAATTGGATTGGGAGGCTTCCGTTCCGTGTTGGCAGTTTTCAGGTTTTTTTTTTTTGTTTGGCCCAAGGCGTCATTTTGGCTACGACTTAAAAAAGAAGAAGGCGTTAAGTGCAACCCAACAACGCAAAAACACAGCTAACGAAATAAGAATATTGTTCATGCATTTGCTCGAGTAATTGGTGGGCACCATAGCATAGAGGCAACTCCGGTGCCTCCAAAACTTTTTTCGATAAGGGGAGGTGCAACTACACCTCCTTACACCTCTGTGGATCTGTCACTGATTGAGAATATCAAAATAATACTATTCTTGTTACAATAAAGTTTTTTTTGGATAATTAAAGTACGCATTGAGTTAAAGTATTAATGGGCAATGATTTCCCCACTCCTATTATATCCACTTACACTCCTCTTTTAGTTATAAAAAAGGAGTGTAAGTGGATACAATAGGAGAAAAAAGAGTGGGGAAATCACCACTCTTAAAAATATGTCCTAATGGGATATGCATGGTGGGTACTTTTTTTTCCTTATGATGACGTCCCAATATAAGCTTTTTTGAAAATTAAGTAATTTTTGGGGTTTAAATCATGACTTTTGCAGAGTAAATTAAGAGTGGTGATTTCCCCACTCCTTTTTCTCCTATTTTATCCACTTACATTCCTTTTTTATAACTAAAAAAGTAGTGTAAGTGGATAAAATAGGAGTGAGGAAATCATTGCCATAAATTAATCATACTATATTTATATATATTTATACAAGTGATATTGGGAGAGAGAATTTAAGATATGTTGAAAATGACAGGGTGTAAATAAGATGTAAAGTTACAAATTCATTATGAGTTTGTGATTTAGAATTTGAATGAATTGGGAACAAGAACGAAACATACGGCTCAAAACGAAATTTCTGGTGAAATTGTGGTCACCTTTAGTAGTAGTGGGGATGGGATGGCTAAATATCAAAGGAAACAATACGGCCAGACCAACCTGCATATTAAGCGTACAACAGAACAGTACGAATGGAGGTGTTAAGTTTTCAAATTGAGTGGGGCCCAGTAAATAGAGCTTCGGTTTGACTGGACTGGAGAGGCCTGCCTGTCTCAAACCTTGATAATAGATTGACATGATCCAGGAGGAGGAGCCAATGGAAAAAAGCTTCGTTCATGTGTCGTTGTTGTGACTTTGTGACCACCGGTATTCTCTCCTCTCCTCTGTCTGTTTGCTACATTTTACCCACTTTCAGTCCACCTGCAACTCTACTGTAAATTTAAAAACACACACGTCTAACTTTACCCTCTTCTCTTTTCTTTTTGCTTCTGTCTTCTCTCTCTCTCTCTCTCTCTCTCTCTCTCTCTCTCTCTCTCTCTCTCTCTCATACTATTCATGTATACAGAATAAAAACCAAAGAACAGCATATCATTCATTCACGTGTATAGAAGTTTACGAATCTGTGTTTACCGACATACAAGTCACTTATTTATTGCAAAATGATCTTCGACCATCAACTTACTCGAATCGAATGGTATCTCATCTTATGAAGTGAGAGCTCATTGTGTGAGATTGACCTAATTATAATCAATCAATCAACAACACTTGTATAAATTTATGTGTAAAACTCAATTTCAAACTTAAACAACCAATAGGATATAAGAGATCACAATATTCCTATGTTTTAACATCGTTTCCATCAGACTTCATATTTTATTTATAATTTATTCCAAGCAATTTCATTAACTGCCATAATTGTAATTAAAACTCCCTATTAATAGCATATCAATCACCTCATTTCTTTTGGTTGCCATTCCCTCTAACATATTACATAAAATATGTAAATTACATATCCAATATGTACATATGAAAAATATAAATATAAATATATACGTATACAAATATAGGTATATTAATTACCAAAAAAATTTAAAAAAACTGGGTCAGTTATGTTGTAATTGAAATTTTCGTACATTTTTCATAAATTAAAAATAGGTATACAATAATTTATAGAAAATAGGTATGTTGTATAATTGAAATTTATGCACATTTTTTATAATTTAAAAATAGGTACATTATTTAGAAGAAAAAAAATAAGTTCATTATACTAGGTAAATTGTTTTATTAGGTATACATTATTAGAGGGGAAAAAAAGGGTACATTATTTAGAGAAAAAAAAAAGGTTTATTTTAAAAAAATTCATAAAACAAAAAATACATAGATTATCAAATTATTTTTCACAAAACAAGTAATAGATACATTATTTAGAGCAAATATATACAAAATTTAGCACACAAAAAAAAGTTCATTATACTAGGTAAATTGTTTTACAAGGTACATTATTAGAGGAAAAAAAATAGGTATATTATCTGGAGAGAAAAAATAGGTTCATTTAAATAAATAAAAATTCATAAAACAAACAATAAAAAGATGATCAAATTATTTTTCATACAACAAGTAATAGGTCATTCATCTAGAGAAAAAAGGTACATATTTAGAGAAAAAAAATAGATACATTATTCAGAGAAAAAATAGGTTCATTTAAATAAATAAAAATTCATAAAACAAACAATAAAAAGATGATCAAATTATTTTTCATACAACAAGTAATAGGTCATTCATCTAGAGAAAAAAGGTACATATTTAGAGAAAAAAAATAGATACATTATTCAGAGAAAAAATAGGTTCATTTAAATAAATAAAAATTCATAAAACAAACAATAAAAAGATGATCAAATTATTTTTCATACAACAAGTAATAGGTCATTCATCTAGAGAAAAAAGGTACATATTTAGAGAAAAAAAATAGATACATTATTCAGAGAAAAAATAGGTTCATTTAAATAAATAAAAATTCATAAAACAAACAATAAAAAGATGATCAAATTATTTTTCATACAACAAGTAATAGGTCATTCATCTAGAGAAAAAAGGTACATATTTAGAGAAAAAAAATAGATACATTATTCAGAGAAAAAATAGGTTCATTTAAATAAATAAAAATTCATAAAACAAACAATAAAAAGATGATCAAATTATTTTTCATACAACAAGTAATAGGTCATTCATCTAGAGAAAAAAGGTACATATTTAGAGAAAAAAAATAGATACATTATTCAGAGAAAAAATAGGTTCATTTAAATAAATAAAAATTCATAAAACAAACAATAAAAAGATGATCAAATTATTTTTCATACAACAAGTAATAGGTCATTCATCTAGAGAAAAAAGGTACATATTTAGAGAAAAAAAATAGATACATTATTCAGAGAAAAAATAGGTTCATTTAAATAAATAAAAATTCATAAAACAAACAATAAAAAGATGATCAAATTATTTTTCATACAACAAGTAATAGGTCATTCATCTAGAGAAAAAAGGTACATATTTAGAGAAAAAAAATAGATACATTATTCAGAGAAAAAATAGGTTCATTTAAATAAATAAAAATTCATAAAACAAACAATAAAAAGATGATCAAATTATTTTTCATACAACAAGTAATAGGTCATTCATCTAGAGAAAAAAGGTACATATTTAGAGAAAAAAAATAGATACATTATTCAGAGAAAAAATAGGTTCATTTAAATAAATAAAAATTCATAAAACAAACAATAAAAAGATGATCAAATTATTTTTCATACAACAAGTAATAGGTCATTCATCTAGAGAAAAAAGGTACATATTTAGAGAAAAAAAATAGATACATTATTCAGAGAAAAAATAGGTTCATTTAAATAAATAAAAATTCATAAAACAAACAATAAAAAGATGATCAAATTATTTTTCATACAACAAGTAATAGGTCATTCATCTAGAGAAAAAAGGTACATATTTAGAGAAAAAAAATAGATACATTATTCAGAGAAAAAATAGGTTCATTAAAAAAAATATTTTCCATAAAACAAACAATAAATAGATGATCAAATTATTTGTCAACATAATTAGAATGTACACTATTATTCATAAAACTATAATAAAATAGATTACTAGTCGTATAATTCATAAAAGGAAAACAACATAATTTTTTAATTAAATAAACCAAAACGCTAATCACCTATAGATTACTAATACGTTAATGTTGAATTTAATATTGAATTTCAAATAAGTTTATAAATTAATTCATACATCCATTACAACAGTTTGGAGATCTTTCCAAATTTAACGTGTGTCATTAGTTACACCCTTCATAACACATTAACTTATAAATAGGGGTAGTTTTGGTATTTGAAAAATACAATAAATCAATTTTTAAGTTATATTAGGTAACTTACTTAGTTGGATCCTAGTCATATGGTATTATTTGAAAAAATTGGGTATTTTCAATAGAAAAATAAAGAGAAGGGTTGTAGGTAATTTAAAATAAATTTATGGGTCTTAGCTCAATTTTCTATATATAAAAAAAAGCCAATGTTACATTAAATAGCAAGCATGTACAAATAAATAATAGGGTTTCAAAGTCTTGACTATGATTACTAACTAAATACTTTATAAACAACTTAGTCAAATGGCTTGTTGGACGAGGCAAATTGGCAACACTTTATTTAGAATTGGCCTAGACTTTTGGTGTATTTTTAAGTGATTTTGAGTTCAAGCCATCATGATCAGTGACGGATCCACATAAGCACAAGGAGGTGCAGTTGCACCTCCTCTCGCTGGAAAACACTTTGGAAGTGGCAGAGATTGCCCCTTCTGCTCTGTTTGAAGGTGTTGGCTGGGTAAGAAAAACCTGCTGCGTGAGGAAGAAGATGATTTCTAAACCCTTTCTTTTTCTTAAACAATGTCGTTGGGTTCACCTTTGGGTTTTAATAAAAGTGTGCATTTTGATTGTTATTTTAAAACCTTTTTTTGTCGTTTCCTTTTTCCAAATCTATTTCTCCATTCTCCCAATACAATCACACTAAACCCCAAATTCTTTTTTTCTCAACCGCATGTATCTCTAGCCCTGTCAATTTAGGAATCATCCTACTCTATTTCAATTGTATAACTAATTGGATAATATTAGGTTTCAAATTTGATTATTATATTTATTACTTATATTTAATTGAATATGAAGCTTTAATTAGATTTACTGATTTAGTTTCATTATATTTTATTATTTATAATTTTTCTTCGCAAAAAGCTTACTCATCATTGCTTTAAGGCTTACGCTTCATCTTGCGGGACTAAAGTTACTTAGCATCTACACCTACACATTGCCTTTCAAAACTTTGGTATTATTTAAATTATAAGGGTAAGTGGTTATCTGAATTTTTATTTTTATTTTTCCTTTTAGTCTTTTAAATATTGCCCCTCCCCTAAAGAATTTCTAGATCCGCCACTGATCATGATACCCGTGTGTGTGACTTTTCATCATCCCTTTTCTAATGGAGGGTGAGTGGCTAGTATCCTAATATATATTCAATTCAAATCAACTCTACCCCCTCAGTCTTTTCCTTTACTTTATCGAAAGTTTGAGTTAGACTAGACTAGTCCTTCATGTTTTTCTAAAATGAGAAAACTTAACATCAATCTTAGGCCAATACGTTTTCTATTTCCTCTATTAAAAATACAATATATTTTCGTATTGAACTTGTATACTTAATTGACCATTTCTTTCTATAGTAGAAGATACCGAAACAAATTTGAAGATAGTGCTTGCTTTGCTGGGTAAACCCCAGTTTCTTCTTCTTTTCGTTAATAGTCCTCATAGGATTAATTTTGCTTGGTTTCACCTCAAGAGAATTCCTTTTTTCAGTTAGGGCATTTCCTATTGAGAATTCGTACTTTTTTAATTTAACGACATCATGTCTCTTCTAACCGTTTGTTAAGTAGGTTCTAATAAAACCCATTTCTTACATTGCATTTATATATAAACTCTAAAACCTTTAAATTGAAGGAAAAAACCCAAGAAGGGCCAGCTGTAATATATTTTTTTAAATTTGAATGATGTTTGAAATACCTACGTTATGATTTTTAGAAAGAAAGAAAAAAAAAAACTGATGACATTATTGTACTTTTGAAATATTTTGGCCCTATTTATAAGTTTACATGTGAAAAGCCGGTATATTTTCTAAAGAGACGCAATCGGGTGGGCCAGTACAAAAACTTGCGAAATAACGCGGAAACTCTTCGGAAAAGCGAAGCGACAGTGAAAGCTGCCTGCCTGCCTATGCTTCCAATTTCAAAACAAACCAAGAGAAAGAGAGTTGGCTGTTTTTTGAATTTTCCTCATTAACTATTTTTACTTGGTATTGTCATCTTCTTCATCAGTTCATCTATCTTCATTCAGTATGCATGGACCACCTTCCAGCTTCTAAAGGATGACAACCCAACCCTGATAATATAATTCTGCTGGGATGGGGAAGGGAAATAACCCAACCCTGGAAACATGGAATTGGGCCTGGGTTGGGTTCAGCTTGGGCCACCAATGTATCAACAATTCCTATAATGTTTGTTTGCACAATCACTTGGGCCGCATTTCTCAATCTCAAAATGACTCTCGCCCGCCACTGATGTTTGGGAGTTGGGCCTCCACAAGCTGGGTCAGGGTAAGCTCGTATGGCTTTGTTTGGTTGGTGACCCAACCCTAAACTAAACCCAATATGGATAACATACAAGTTACAACAGCCTGCTCTTCCATAGTTGGGACTTGGACGGGATTAGCTCAGCTTTTTAACGTTAATTTGATATTAAAAAAACAAGCCCTGACATAATAAATACTAGCATTAATTTAATGTTGTTCTTCCTTAAAATGCGGACCCTTTCTGTTGTTTGGCAGGACGGTTTCAAAACAGGAATTGGTTATATTTGGTTTTACATGTCATACTAGGAGTCTAGGACACATGAATAATTTTGAGCGTTACAATAAGTTTTTTTAATCAGAAAAAATTACATCGGTAAACTATCCTGCAAAGCAAAATCAAATTGAAATTAGCGTGAAAATGACCAAACGACCCTTGTTACTGTTGGGGGGTCCCACTATTGTCTTATTGCAGGAAAAAAGGCTGAATTGTAATTGTAACGCAAAACTGATGCAGCCAAGCTGTTCTCCAATTCGGTCGTCCTGCTGCCCTCTTAAATGGCTATTCGGAAAAATTACCATTTTAGTCCCTGGAGAAGAGAGAAAAAAGAGGGTGGGGTGTGGGGACTGAGGGGAGAGCAGAGAGACTCAGAAAAAGACTGGGTTTTTCTCGTGTGCGCGTGAGGCCTGAGCCTGAGGGTGAGGAGAGGACACATTCCAGTCTTCTTCAGAGACAATACCAAGAAAGCAGAATCATCACCTTGTGTAAGAATCAAGCTTTCTCATTTGCCTTTTCACAGATTCTATTTATTTGTTTCCCTAGATATTATTTTCCTTTTCTGTATGATTCTTGAGACTTCTTTTGGGAAGTTTTTGTGGCCATTGATTCCTAATCTTCAGCTTGTATTAGATTCTGGGCATTTTTTATTATTTGGGTTTCTGATTTTGTTTTATTATTATTTCAGATTCTCTCCTTTTTGCTAAGTTTTCTGTACCGCCAAGCCAAGATAAGGTCTTCTTGAGGAAACAGGGAGGGTGACACAGAGGATTTATGTCGTCTCGATTTCATCTATTGACTGGAGCTCAGAAGAAGCTCTGGACCTCATATCATTGTCTCTCTTGCACACTCGTTTTGCTCTCCACCTTTTGCATGCAATACTGGTCTCACGGTCACACCCTCAAACAGAGTTCACCTCTCTTTTCCATGCCATTAAGATCAAAAAGGTATGTGGGTTTTATTTATTACTGTTTTGAGTGTAATATTATGTGCTATCTTTTTACCTATCGTATCCAATATCTGAACGAACATTGATAGTGTGCTTGTGGAATGTCATAACATGGGTTTTGATGGGTTTAAATTCTTAAATTTGTTGTCAATTTTTTTTTGATCTTTTGTTTTCTTTTACACTTGGTGCAGGAGTTGTTCTGGATTAGAGTGCTTTGGTGATTATTTCAGAAAACAATTTTCCATTTCAATTTTAGGACTCAGGTGTTTCAGGGTTTTGGGTTTTTCTTGAGACTGAGTTTTGATAAAGCATTTGTTTTGTTTTGTTTTTTCTTAGTTTTCCTTTTGCATTGCCTTTGGGCTTTAGGGGTTTTGACTTGAAAAAAATGCCGGGCTTTAAAACTCTAGTCTTGAATCAACATGTGAAGTTGAGCAAATTGAAGACAAAGCAACCAAACAAAGAAGAGAATACAAGTTCCGTGAAGAGAATTCGGATCATATACAATGATCCTGATGCCACCGATTCTTCAAGTGATGATGAGGAATACGATGGTAAGGAGGACCGACTTCTGCATGACAAGCGCTTTGTTTCCGAGATTTTGGTTGTAGATACAAAATATGAACCATCTGCAGATGTTTTATCCCATTGCAAGACCAACGGAGGGAAAATTGGTCTTAGTATGAACTTTTATGACTGTAAGAAAACTAAAAGATCTTCTTCCATGTATAAGGGAGTTCGTCGCAGAAAATGGGGAAAATATGCGGCTGAGATTCGAGATCCAATTCAACGGTGTCGAACATGGCTTGGAACTTTTGCTACTGCAGAGGAGGCTGCCGCTGCGTATCAGAAAAAGAAGCTCGAATTTGATAGCATACAATCACTGGGAAAGACTCAGAGGGACTATCAAAACTTGCAGTTATCAGATAAGGATAAGGGTGCTTTTGAGAGTTTTCAATTAACTGAGAGGACCAAGCATGAGTTTCAAGGCATTCCTTTATCAGAGGAGAGTCAGGATTCATTGGGTGATGCTGATATTGAAACTTCCTCGGCAGAAGAAACCAAACGTGTGTTTTGTCATCCGTCACCATCATCCGTGCTTGAAATATCTGGTACAGCTTCACTCGATATTGGACTCAAACAGGTGAAAGAAGAATCTAGCGTGGAAGTTTTTGGGGGAGACGGCAGCGTGCAACCATTTTTTGAAGAAGATCTATCCATTTTAAAGTTTCCTGAAGAGGCAATGTTGCCATTAGATAACGAACAGTTGGATTTGGGATGTGGTGAAAATTACGTGTTTTCCAGTTTGGATCAGTTCTTTGATGGTATGAGTGATATAGCCGATACTGGTTTGAGTGACATAGTTGATTATCCTGCGTTCAATGATGGAAATGGTAAGGCTATCTGTCTTCCCACTCTCGACTCTGATTTTGGTCAGCAGGATTTTGCTTGGATTGATCAAAACCTGAACATGGCATGCCCATGAAGTTTTGTAGTTAGGAATTACCAGTAGTTATATGTCTAGGACATGCTCACAATAAAAAGCTCGGGAAATGTTTGAGCAGTCTTGAGGTTTTTTGTAATGAGAGAGTTCTTGGGTTTTCATTGTGCTTTTTGCGGCCGTCCAAGATTTTGCAACTCTCAGACTGGTATGTGTTATAAGTTATTATGTATTGGACCTTGTTTATGTCGCCAGTTGATACAGTAGAAGTGCCTTTCTGCTCTATTGAGAATCTGAGCTTTCAGAAGAGAAAGTCTTTGGAGTTTAAATTTGTTCTCATCCCTAGTATATACTATACTTCTAGGAAGAGCTTGGAAGATGGCATCTTACATTATTTCTCTCTTTCTATCTATTCTCTTCCTTGGTAATTTTTCTTATGATTTACTAAATTTTGAATTCAGCCACAATGGTAATGGTTGCCTCTGAAACATGTGGATGTTGTTAGGTAAAGCAGTTTATATAGATAGGCCCTTAGGGCAAATAAATTATTAGATCGAGTTCATAGGAGGATAATCGATTTAGCAGTCAATAGAATCTCCTTTTTTGCTTCGTTTCATGAACAAAAAGATGCACTGCTAAATTTTATAAGAAAAGAGACAATACTGACATGGCAGCCAATAATTCAAACGGTGACTTTTCTTAAAGCAAGCAATGGGTGGACTTGATATCTAGAAGGTGGGTTGAACTTGAAACATACACTTGTTTCATAATCACGTTTGTTTTTCAATTCAACAATTACTGAAATAGCAATTTACCTAATTTGATAAATTAATTTGTCAGCATTACGAATATGGATGGCCAGCTAGGACCCCACGGAACCACTTTAAAGTCGGCCCGGCACATCATGGTTCGCTAAGGATGTGGATTCGAGAGCGGTCTATCAAGTGAAAATGAGAGCAAACCTAAAGCTAATAAGGACATCTCTGGTTATAGGGCTAAATGTAGTCAATTGCTAAAAATTTAGCCTTTCAAAATATTAATTTTTTAAAGAATAGTGCAGGGCTAAATTTTTCCATCTCCAACCATGCATGTTATATTTTAGGGTCCTTCATATTTTATTATTTTGAGAAAGGGAAGTGGGGAGTGCTTTAATGTTTGGTGGTTAAAAAACACATGGTGGGGCCTACTATGAATTTGGCCTAGGCCAAAGCTGAGCTACATTTGACCTGGTTAGAGGGCTAAAGGGCCAAATGTGGCCCTCCAAATTTGGTCAAAATTTTATTTAGCCCATGGCTGGAGATGAGTTCTGCATTATTTTAGGGCTACATTTGGGATATAACCCATGGCTGGAGATGGCCTAAGAGCATCTCCAAGGAAGATGTCAAATACCAAACATCAAATTTAAATTTGATGGCTGATGTGACAATTTGACATAGTATAAAACTCTTCATCCAACCAAGATGTCAAATATACATTTGATTTTATTATTTTTAAAGGCAGGTGGGCCCGATATTTAAGAGTAAAATATTAAATAGAGTTAAGAACTATACATGGAAGAGGAGAGAAGAGAGTGGGCTCAGCATTAAAATAAAAAATAAAAATAAAAAGACATCTCAACATCTTGGCGTCAATTTTGACAGCAAAAGTGAAGGATGTCAATCCAACTAGGATTTGGCATCACGGTTGGAAGGCTTAAAATGTCTTTTTCTTGGGTTAAAACTTGCTACGTTGGAATTGACATTTCGGTTGGAGATGCTCTAAGACTACTTCAATTAGCCGCCTGGCCTTGCCATATGGTCAGCCTTAAATGACACGCGTCCTCAGACTCAAATCAAGCCACTGTTTTTGTTTCTTCCTATGAGGTGATTCTTGTCTCTCCTTTTGTATCTTCACTGTCTTTGGGTTCAGAGTTCACGGGTCGTATTGAGGAAATTATTGAATTTAAACATTTTAATCGATCGGATCGGATGACTATTAAGAACCCCTTGTCACGAAACATCAAGCAGGTAATGACTTTTCCTTCATCCCATTGTGGCCTCTACCCTTGTCTTACATCATATATTATTCCAAGTTTCCAACCAGTGTGATACTGAGAGGATGGAAAATTGTAATCTGAAACCTACCTCTCTCTCTCTCTCATAGACTTTTCTTCTTTGAAACTGATTGGGCTTTTTTATTAAAGTTGGTGGGTGCAAGATTATCAGTTTTGTCACCTATCTCAACTCAATAAATCAGGGTTACTACAACTTACAAGTCAGCACACGACGGAAATGCCCATGATTTACATTTTGAGCGATCATCAAATTAGTATTTGGGTCCCCAATAAAACTTGGAGCACCCTAAATGGCCAAAAGGCCCCATACATATTCAATTCCTCAACAAATACAGCCATCCATGAAAATCCCAAGATAGCCGGATTAGAATTAATAATGGTAGGAGGGAGCTTAAGGCCACCTCCTCTCCTCTGGTCTGGTCAGGTCTGGTCCATCCATGGCTTGAATTTAGAAATGGTAGTAGTCAGGTCCTACTGCTATCATTTACGAAAAGCCAGTTCACATACAAGAGCAAGATGATCGCTACCCCATTTCTGCAAACCAAAATTTCAGTCTTGAGAGAGAAATAAACAAAGAATGGAATCTTGAGAATAAAACACTCTACAACATTGACGAGCTCATACTATATAAGCATATAATTTCAGAAAACGCAGGGCAAATACTTCCACTTTTCTTGGGATTAGTTCAAGAAAGAATTTTACCAACACCTTACCACCTTATCACACTTCAAGTTTTTAGGCCAATTTTCTGGGAGTAATTCACTTTTTATCCCTTCAATTAGTTCACTTTTCTACTGTCTTTAACAAAGTGAAGAAGTTCACGATACTATAACTCAAGAACTATAACACAGTTCAGAATAATCTACCCATTTTCATCCAAACCATATACTAATTTCAGCATTAAGTTTAATTCTCCTATAATTTACAGGCTGTATTACTGATAAAGCAAAAGTAATTGGAGATAGAAAGTACTTTGCTAGGTAGTCCTCCATTTCTTCTTAAAATGTTTATTGGTAAGGTTTCAAGAACTCTGACAGGAACAAGTTCCTCTGTATGCCTGTCACACAATGATATCAGCAATCAAAATTATTTAAGTGCAAACAGTGAAGCTGTGCCTTTTACAGACCAATGGAATACTAAATAAGCCACCAACCAAAAAGAAAAAAAGACATACCAAATATAATCAACAGTTCCCATGAACTTGGAGTGGTACGATGTTGCCAAGGGTTCTCCACACCCATCTCTGGTTCTACAACTACCCTGCGGAGAAGCCCAAAAAAAAACATATATTTGTATTAATAATTAATAAAAAGGTTGGTAATTTTCTAATAAAACAACTCCCACTCTAAGTTGTACATTTTCTGGATCCTCCAAAGGGACAATTACATGTGTCATGCCTAATTGACTATGATAAAAAGTGTTTGGCCGAGGGGACTCTCACATCTGACTACATCTGTCTGCGGTATCAGATATGAGACCTACGGCACACTATCCATATCAAGTGCTTCGAAATATTGTTTAAAGAAGTTGATTGGAACTTTGCAAATATGAGTTGGAAAATTGAAGAGAAGAGTGAAGACTTACAGGTACTCCAAGATATGCACTGCAAAGCTTTAAATGGTGCTGAAGACGAGTGGCTCCTTCAATGCCTGCTGCAAGCCTTACTTCTTCCTCATTCCATATATATTGCAATGGCCTTGAAACATATTTCCTAATACTGCATCTCCAATACAGAATGCAGTTAAGATTTTTCTTTTCCCTTCTAAAATCAGATTTCTCACTGCAGTGTATACTATATATATATATATAGAGAGAGAGAGAGAGAGAGAGAGAGAGAGAGAGAGAGAGAGGGAGAGAGAGTTCTTATATAAATTTTTTCAAAAGTACCTGCTTGCTTTCTCATTCTGAGATCTGAAGGATCTGTTCTCTGATCCAGAGTCAACCTGTCCGGAAATATGTCTGCGGTTATGTAGTCGGATGTCCAACTGCAACAAAATACAGCAAGAACTGCATAATCTAAAATGAAACACAGCAGAAATAAAAGAAAGGGGGCCAGGAGAAGCTAAAATGGACTCACCTCAGATGAAGCCAGGAACTGGTACATAGGACTCTGACAATTTGACAAAAGGAGAAATCAGGTATTAAGGGACAATGAGAAAATTAGTACATGGATCATGTGAATCAAATCTGCTCAATATATAATATCATCATAGCAAGAACTCACCTGTGGGATACTATTTAGATCTCCGGAAATTATAACAGGGATACTGCCCCACTCTTGTGATAGCTCATGAGCTTTTTCAAGAAACAGACGGACCTACGCCATTGTTTATTACAAGTTATGTCAATGCATAACCACAGTGACAACAATGAACACAAAGCTCTAACAGAGAGCAATATTTGACAAGTTTTCATTGATAGCGATTGATGACATGCTGCAAGAATCTCACACATTTCTGAAAAATCACAGTAGAGAATACCTGCCCTAGCTTGATGTCTCCACGATTTGGATTGAATAGTACGTGCGTATTGCCAATCACTACGCTTCTGTTTTGGGTGCATGGACTCCTGTATGTATGTACATCAGTGAGTGAATTGACCTACCATTATCTGAAGTTAAATCACATTCTACACAAATGATATGCAAACACAATAAACTAGAACTTACACCGAGGTTTGGGGAGTTATCTCCGACTCTAATTGATTTTGTTTACTCTGCGTATACGGAAAACAAGAAACATTAAGGTATAAACTGTTTATGTGTACCTAACCAACAAGAGTTCAAATTGGAAAAAAAACGCCTTCCACATCAAAGAAACACAAATAAAACAGAAGGGGTTCCTCAACATCAGCAGCGGCTAATATTTTAACCAGGGTTGTCACCATAAGTCACATATGTTAAAAGATCACACCATAAGTCACATACTTCAACACAATGTGCTACATGAAAGCATGACACAGACGTGAATCAATATGCCACACATCAATGTGCATTTCAACTTATGGGTTAGCACCTCCTAGAAGAAAGGGAAAGAATGTCATATTGCACTAAATACTGCTCCACTTACCTTTAAAACACAAAGTTGGGCAACATTGTTTCGAAGGCCAAAACTTTGGAACTCTATATTTTCTTGATGCAAAAGGCTAAACCTGCGTTCAGAATTTGATTTGGCTAAAAGCTGAATATAGAAGG